AGACTGAGAGCTGCAATAATCTATAGTATAAAGTTGTGTATTTGAAGGCATTTTGAAACAAGCTCATTTAGCAGTACAGCAGTAGTATGTTCCCATATGGGATTGACCAGACTTGCAGTACAGGCATGAATTCCAGCCTGTAGATGGAATCCACCTGTACAGTGGGCCTCAAATCCAGTCAGAAAGAGGTTGGTTACTTCCATAATAGTCTTGTTACTATTGCACCAGTGGTTTAAGCGGTTTGTTATTGTAGTTTGTGAGATCCACAGCTAAGGTGGATATTGATTACTCTTCTCACCCAGAAGCCTGCATAGCACTTTTCAGTGTGTGTGTTTGTGTGTGTGTATGTGTGTGTGTGGTGTGTGGTGTGTGGTGTGTGGTGTGTGTAGAAGTAATCGTCTATTAAATGAGAAACACAGAGCCAATGCAGAGATGAAAGCCCAAGAGGTTAGAGCTAAGAGCCTTACCCTTCACTGCTGCAGCTATCCTCTTTAGCCAAGAGACCTACTTCCTATGTGTTTGTCTTTATATAGACTTTCTGTTCTGCCTTCTCATTGGTTGTAAACCCAACCACATGACTGCCTCGTCACTGCCTGTCTGTACAGACCTCCGGGTCTTCTATGGTTGGTATTGAGATTAAAGGCGTGTGTCTCCATGCTGTCTGTATTCTAGAACACACAGAGATCCGCCTAGCTCTGCCTCCCAAGAGCTGGGATTAAAGGCATGCACCACCACCGCCCAGCTTCTGCTATGGCTTGCTATTAGCTCTGACCCCCAAACAACTTTATTTATTAACATACAAATAAAATCACATTTCAGTACAAATAAAATATCTTATTTTATTTGCTTATTTTATTGTGATTCACAGTGATAATAAAATTGTAAGACAGCTGGAGTGTATGGATTAAGCTCAGTCCATCTGTCATTTCATCCTGAGTGTGAAATGATGCTTTGATTACATAGCAGTGATCAGGTAAGCCTGGAGGCTGCTGAGCTACAGTACAGAGTGTCAGTGAAGCCCTGCTTTTGTTTTAACTCTCTGCCCCTAGTTTCCAAATAAGGAAAGAGTAATCACTTTCCCTGCACGATTATTTGGGGAATTAATAAAATAAAGTTAGTAATCTCCCAAGGCCTAGTAGGAGAAGGCCTGGGAAGCCTTAAAGGTGTTTTAAATACATCAGCCCTAAGGAAATTATCTTTAAAACTGAAGAAAAATCCTGAAGCATGGAAGAAATAAGAGGAAGGAACGTTTACAGTAGAGGGTAGTCTACGGTGTGACTAGCATGCAGGCAGTTGGGTGAGAGCGATGATCTCCCAGGCCCCAGGGCCTCCATGAAGAAATGACAGAAGGAGAAAGAGCATCTGTGCGGAAGTCCCACCCACAGTCATTCACCCTTCTGTTTACAACAAATCAGTGCGTTTTGAACTCATCTCTTCCTTACAGTTAACTCTAATTTCACCTGTGCTATGTTTGAATTCTAGTCTCCTTCACACCTGCAGTGAGCCATGGGAGTCGGGCATGCATGTTAAATCAAACACAGGGAATAAAGGGACCATGACCGACACAGCCTTAGCCTCCTTCCTCTGAGATCCCGAGAGCTCAGTCTGTACCGTCTCTAAGCACCCGCTGTGTTTAACTGATGTCACACTTTCATGTATCTATGAGCCCCTTCCCCAGGCACTGGCTGGTTATATCCTATGTATTTAGGACACTGAAGCTCTGGAGAGTGAGGCAGCTTTCTTCCTTGCATGAGATGTTAGCAGCAGAATGAGGTTTCCAAACCTTCTCCTTTTTTATATATTATTATTGTTATTATTATTATTATTATTATTATTATTAGCTGAAAGAATTCTCCAGTTCAAAGTAAAATTGAAAATTATACTGGAGATTTGTTCAGATAAACCTTTATCTTTAATGTTGATGCATGTTGTTTCTCTGTGTTTTCTATGATTAATAACTATGTATTCTACAGTCCTTAGAAATACAGAGGAAAAGATGGCCAACCCAAGATAATTATGACAAAATCCTAAACTAACAGTGGCTGTTCTCTTGCTCTCAGATTACAAATCACTGGTGATGCTAAAGAAAACAGCTGTGCCTCCGTCTCAAAGGACAAAGTGACTTCTGAGAGCTGTGCTTCAGACAACAAGTGGATCTGCCAAAAGAAACCAAAATGTGTCTCTGAAACCACGTGTAATGACTCCTGACTGGAATCTCATCTCCATTACTTCACCATCCATACCGGATCTCTGCACTCTATCTAGACTGCTGACTGTAGTAATATTTTATTTGTGCTCTAATAAATAAAGCATGCATTGAGATCTGAGGAAAAAGCCAGCCACTATATTAAACATAGAAGTCAGGCAGTGGTAGCACACTCCTTTAATCCTAGCATTTGGGAGGCAGAGAGATTCATCCCGATCTCTGTGAATTCAAGGTCACACTGGGAACAGAGCCAGGCATGGTGGTACACACCTTTATTCCTAGCACTAGTTAACCATAGAGGTCTGGAGGTCTGTACAGATAGGAATTGATGTAGCTGGGCAGAGAGGAAGTGAGATGGCAGGGCACAGAAAGGATATAGGTGTGGGTATACAGGAAGTAGCTCTCTGGAGGCTGAGGAGTTGGTAAGGTGAGGTTGGCTGTGACTTGTCCTACTTCTCTGATCAATATCTGGCTCCTTTATTTTTTTTAATTAATAAAACAGTTTAGCAATTCATCTTACAGCTGACCCCCTCCCACTGCACATTTGGCGGCACAAAGCATGAACTCTAAAACCACAGTGACTCCTACAGATGCCCGTGCCCAGTTTCTTCATTCTATAAAGGGGACAGAGATGCTGATGTGCCATTTAAAAAGAGGTGTTCTGTGGGAAGAAGCCCAGACAGCTGAGAAGCAGTGGATTCCATTCTGGAGTCTGCGTGGCCTTCTCTGGTCTCTGTGCGTGCAGAAAACTGTTTGCAGAGTCCTGATCCCCACCCCCATCCCACTAGCCTTCGTCACACTGCTGGGCTGTAGAACACTGATTGAAGCCTTTGCTCTTGCCTGACACCAGAAGCCCATGGTTAAGAGATTTGGGGAAAGAACTGACAGTGGTTTGGACGGCACCTGCAAAATCCTAGGTAAACTGAGCGCTGGTCACGTGACGTCTCCACCAAGACATGATGCACCAGAAGACCCTGGACCAACGCTGGCATCTTGGTGCTGGGCTTCACAGATCCAGAACTAGCAAAGATGAGCATTTTTTTTTTTAAGTTTTCTGTTTAAGTGACAGGAAAGTAAACTAAGGCAAGGCTTAACTCTTCCCGCCACTCCGCTAGTCCTTTCCTCCCTAATTTGCTCAACATGTCTTCTTCCCATGTGTGGGGAAATTAAGTTTTAAAAAAGATTTCAATGTCCCCTTTTCTAAAAATTTGCCAAATTTTCCATGAAAAATGAAGAATATTGAATCTACTTTACAAGGAGGTATACAATTTCTTTAAAAATAGGCATCTTCATATTCTAATCACTCAATTTCAAATTGAATCATTTAAATTGAAGTACATATTATCATAATTCAAATAAATTCTCAATTCCTATTTTGTGGGAATAAAGTGTTTTAATACTTGATAATGCTAATTTTCAATACACAAACACTCAAAGAATAATTCATTTTGCGAAAATTCTTAGGAAACAAATTACCTAGGAAAACCTTTCAGAGAAAAGCAGCACTATAAATCAACCATTAACAACAGTGATGTTTGTTAACTGTTAAGAGCAGGCAGCTAAGCAGATATGAGTAGGTGGGAGGCGGGGTCATGCACACCCACCCTTTGCTAGTTAGGTTCATCCTGACTAGGGAGTCAAACGAGGGCACTACAGCGTGACCTGTGTCTCCTGAGGTTACAATGCTCCTTAGTGGATAGACACCCTTGAAGCTGCAGTTGGGCTCTTCCTGCCATGTAAGAAATTAAGGCACCAGGGGACTTTCCCAGTGATGGTACAGGTCACCAGTGAGTATGCTAATGAGCAGGGAAGGACAAACAGTGGAGGCATTTTGGCCCTGGAACAGTTTCAGCAGAGTAAGATATAAATGAAACTAGCTCCCAAAGGGAGGAACTCGACGTTGACATAAGAGAGAGGAGACCATAAGAAATTTTAAAAATTCCACCACGCGCAGCCAGGTGGGCCACCCCACTTCAGTCCTGCCTGCTCCAACGTCGTTCTGGAGTTTGTTATTGCTTTGAGTTTCTTGGCTTTGCTAAATAAACTTGAGCTCAAACTGTGTCTTAGCTGAATTCTTTCTGTGAAAAGACAAAATGAGAGGAGAAATCTCTACCTGGGGTGTCAGCCAACATTTTGCCAACCTGACACCAGCCAGGCTCGTCTGGGAGGAGTGAAACTCAGTTAAGAAAACGTCTCCATAAAACTGGAGTGTAAGCTAGCCTGTCTGGAGTTTTCCCAATTAATGATTGATAGGACAGGGCCCCCGCTGTAGGTGGGGCCACCCCTGAGAAAGTGGTCCTGCATAATATAAGAAAGCAAAGTGAGCAAGCCAGGAGGAGCAAGCCAGTCAGCAGCCTTCGCCCATGGCTTCTGCTTCAGTTCCTGCCTCCAGCTTCCTGCCCTGAGTTCGTCACCTGACTTTCCTGAAGATTTACTAAAACAAATCCTTCCCTTCCCAAGTTGTTTTTGGTCATGGTGCTAATCATGGCAACCAAAACCTGGCTAAGATATCTGGCAATGAAATGGTCCACTTGAGATAGTTACTAACAAGCACACTGATTAAGCCAACTAAATGTTCTGAGTACTTTATTAATGGCCAGACACGAATGGGCTCACACCTCGCCAGTGTTTCTTGGTGCCTGAGTTCAGGGGTACAGTGTTTTAAAGGACAAACTCATAATTACTGCAGTGCTGGGGAGGTACATTAGTGAGGGATTTAGACTTACCTAGTAACATCTTCGTTCTTTACAAGGCTTGGTGGTATCTTCCAGACACCACACAATACATCTGAACCATGGTCAAGGTCATGGACAGTCCCAGAAGTATCACCAAAGTGAATGTGGCTGTTGAAGGTGGAAGACTGAGAAGTGACCAGGCAGGCACAAAGTCATGTTGGGACAGGATGGTGTTGCCTTAGTCATTTCAGTAACACAATAACACCATCAGAGCACAAATCTGAAGGAAATAGTCCCATAAACTATCATGTGCATGATCACCTCCTGGCATGGTATTGGTAACAACTTTCTGACACTGTTCAAGATGAGCTGAGTCCTTTCTGATGGTCCATGATTCATCCCATACACAGATGTTACCTATGAAATCAAGTAACCCTAAAGGCCACATTGGGTGCAAAGTTTTCCCATGACCCCAAAGAGTTGGATTTTCTGCTTTACTACTGGATAGGATCCTATTGAGATCATCTTTGGAACTCCAGCTATGAAGGTGAAATTCCACCAGGAAGGCGTGTAAAATATCAGTTCTAATTGAAATGCCACAGGTGGTCACTCCTCACCTGTCAGATCTGAGTCAGTGTTTATCCACATAAACTAACTGCAACTCTATACAAAGTATGGTGTTCCAACCCTGCCTCCTGCCAATTATAAAACTAAACAAGAGATAAATGTTCATGAGGATATGGAGAAGAGATAAAGTGCCTAGCTTGGTGGGAATGAAAGCTGTCATGGCCATTATGCAAAACAGCAAGGGAGTTCTTAAAAATTAGAGATACATCACTTCACCATCAAATAATCCCACTCTGTGCCTATGTCCTAATAAAAGAAAAACTGTGAAATGGCTTTACTTTCAGTTTTCAAGGATGGAGGGAGGAAAAGGAAGAGATAAGGGAATTTAGTCAGTAGCTATTCAGATCCTCCTGCCTCTTCCTCCGGATTGCTGGGATTAAGGGTGGCGCCACCACGCCTGGCCTCTGCACTCCAACTTGTGTGTTGACGACTGTTTTGTGAATCCTCTCAGGGCTCCCTGTCTTCTAAGGCATCTTTGCGCATTTCTCTTCCTAGATCCAGCAGTAGACTTGTCTAACTGCCGGAGTGTTAGCTCATCAATTGATGGGGGAGTCTGTCGCCACCTTGTGTCCACAACGCACAGCTGCAACTTTGAAAGCAAAGCTCATTGGGGAGAAATTTCACATTTACCACCTGGTGGAGCCTTGGCAGCCCGTGCGCTGTAATAGCGAGTGATGTTTCAATCTAGAACATTTTGGAAGGATTTTTTCAGCAATAGACAGTACTTTTTAATACAACAGATAATCAGAACAGCTTTTTTTTGCTTGCTCCTTCAGCCCCAAGTTCAGCTATCTGGTTGCTTTAATGATATGTCAGCACCATATTTTTATTTACATAAAAACAAATTTACAGAATGTCTTGGTCTAAACAAGCTCACTTCTTGACCTCTTAACCACTCAAGCAGTTATAATACCCGCTGCTTCCCACAAATACATCCTCAGTGAAATCTTGTTTCCCAGGGCTGAAGTGGGAAGCAGTAGCCACATGGTTTCCAATACCACTTGCCATTTCTTATATTTAATTCTTTATGCTGGCTTTGCAGATGAGGCAACATCTGTGAAAGTTAGATAGTGTTTATTAGACATCTTTAAGTCCTCCTCCCCCACCCCCACTCCAGACAGAATACTCTATGTGATAGCCCTGGCTGTCCTGGAACTCTGTTTACCAGGCTGGCCTCCAACTCATCCAGACCCACCTGCCTCTGCCTGCCCAAGTGCTGGGATTGGAGGCGTGTACCACCAAGCCCCACAAGTCTTTTCTAAACAGAGATGCCATATGCATGCAGTGTGTGTGAGAGTTTGTGTGTGGGAGTGTGTTTGAGTGTGTGTACGTGTGTAGTGAATGCACACAATAAGATAATAACTGCACTGGGAGTGCTTATTTGTCCACCTGATCTCAAAGTAATCAATTCGATCAAATAAACAATTGAATATCTTTGAAATTCAATCTCTCATTGTTAATAAGAACATTAAGCATAGTGATAGTCTCTCTGACAAAGATTTGGCTATAACTCCTGTGTTTAGATACACAACACTGCCTGTATTTTTTACTAAATTATTATTATTATTATTTTATGTGTATGAGTGTTTGGTATGCATGTGTGTCTTTGTACCATTTGCATGCCTGGTGTCTGGAAAGAGCAGAAGAGGTCAGATCCCCTGGAACTGGAGTAAGAGATGATTGTGAGCTATCATGTGGGTCCTGGGAATCAAACCCAGGTTCTCTGGAAAAGCCACCAGTGTTCTTAACCGCTGAGCCATCTCTCCAGCTCCAATATTATTTATTATAAATACTCTATAATTATTGTTTTTGAAATTCTTCTAGTTCACCAGTTATATAGAAAAGTGATCTTCCTTCTGTGAAAGATAAAGTTCTTAGAATGTTTTATATAAATTATAAAATAATGATGAAATACTAAAGAATTCTTTTTTGAGAAATAAATTATGTATTCCCTGAGATGTAGAATACAAACAGCTCACAATCCTGTGCTTTCATTTGTATCATAGTTCATTTTATACTAATTTTAGCAAGTGTAGAGTGTTAGGCCAAAATGCTCCTTTATGATTTGTTTCTGTAAATTTCACATACTAAAAAACATTTTACTTTTTTATTTATGGTACATTAAAGTTCAAGATAGATTTATTTACTGAAGAGGATTGTGATTATGTGTTTCTTTATTTATTTGGGCCTGGGCTGTATCACTGTACAAAACTGGCAAAGATTATACAACTCACATTCTCTGTTGGTCAGGATGACAATAAATAGGAAAATACATAAAAGTAAAAAAAAAAAAAAAATCCCATGAAAGAAAAGGAAATCTACTTTCCGGGTGGAGGGTATAAATTGAGTGATCAGGCTTTCCCTCCTCACATACATGTAACCCTGAGACCTATTCCCATGTCCCCAAAGTCATAAAAATAAGTAAAAATTAAAGAAAGAAAAAAATCCATTTTCCGAACTATTAAAGCAGTATTTCTCAGTTGTTTTTTGTATTATTCCCTAGAGTGCCTTCTTGCCTTTTAAAAGGCATTTGGTTGTAATTGTCATATCCAAATCTTAATGTCACAGAGACATTTACCATGCTCTGTATAGAGCGAGGCTAACACATGGAGAAAAGAAACATTTTCAACCCATGACAGCAGTTTTCTCCCCCTGTGGGTGAGGTCGTCCCTGAGAAAATGTGGATTTCACAGAACAGCTACCAAATAGCATGAAGAGACAGGGAAGGACAGGTCTACTGGTCAGAGTCGCTGTGAGATGATGAAATGTGTGAAAGAATTCCTTGAGTAACAGAAGACTGTCGCGGCAGGGGGCGGGGGGAGGGCGGGTGTCAACAGTAGGGGAAGAAGACAGATGGGAGAAGTCGTTCAGAGTCTGTGTGGCTTGTTTGTTGAAGTACAGTCGGAGGCCAGATCGGAGATGAACAAGCAGAAAGAAACAGAGATGCGTGGCACTGGAAAGTGAACTTTATTCCATCCTTTGCATGGCAGTTTTCTTTCTGAAAAGTATTTATTTATTTATTTATTTATTTATTTATTTATTTATTTATTTATTTATTTATTTATTTATTTATTATTTTTTTTTGGATTTTTCGAGACAGGGTTTCTCTGTATAGCTTTGCGCCTTTCCTGGAACTCACTTGGTAGCCCAGGCTGGCCTCGAACTCACAAAGATCCGCCTGTCTCTGCCTCCCGAGTGCTGGGATTAAAGGCGTGCGCCACCACCGCCCGGCCAATTTTTATTATTTGTTAATTGCCTGTGTGGGTGCTCTCAGAGGCCAGCGGCACTGGGTTCCCTGGAGCTGGAGTCACAGAGGGCTGTAGATCACCTGGTGTGGTGCTGGGAACCGAGCTCAGGTCCTCTCAAACCCAGGTCCTCTACAAAGCATCAGGTGATCTGCACGGCCAGGCTGTCTCTCCAGCCCCCCCTCCCCCCCCCGGGAGTCTCTCTGCTGCTCTCTGAGGGCAGCTCAGAGCCCTCTTAGAGTCTCCCAAATGAATGGGCATCCATTTATCAGAAAATGATGATGTCCATCTTGTCGATGATGTGACCTTTTAATTGGAAAGCACGAACCCCAAGATCAACAACTTGGGGTTTTACCACCTTGCTGTGCTGCTGTATGCGGTACCTGGAAAGCCCGCTTCCTTCAGAAGGGTGACAGTGGCTTTTTTTCATGGAATCTCTTTGAGAAAATTTCCATGTTCATGTTATGAAGGGATTGCTTGGATAATTTTGTGGAAACGTCGTTTCTACCTGTTTAATGGTAAGACCGGTCCTATCTGGTCACACCTGCCCTGAACACATGGAGTGGCCTGCTAACGAACCTCTCAGGGAGAGTTATTCTCCCCAGTCCTGTGCAACTAGCTCCCTTCTGGCCATAGAAGACCCAGCCTTGCCATTTTCTGGTTCTTGAGTTCTGCTTGTTTTCTCTATTTTTTAAAATAAAGAATAAAATTTCCAAGTTATTTAGTACTATTCTCAGAGAAGTAAGCAAGCAATGGTCAAAACCCCAAATGTATCTCTTATTTGTAGGAAGGATGTCTTTCCCTTTTTCTCTGGAGCTGTGAACATTGAAGTCAGTCACACAGACTGACTTGAATTTAGACAGAAGGTCATGTTTCCGGATTCAACTTTCATAGCCTGCTTAATAATTTCAATTACATCATTATAAAATGAAATGAAATTACTCTTACACACGAGTACACATAAATAAATGTAATTAAAAAAATAAATCAACCAAAGGCTCCTTGCAGTTATCCCAAACCTCCACTTGAAGGTGAAGTTCTGGGAACCCCACAGTATGGGGAGGAAGGACTGTAGGAGCCAGAGGGACTATAGAGGAGACCAGGAGAACACCACACACAGAATCAACTAAGCAAGGTTCACAGGGGCTCATAGACTTAAGCAGCAACCATAGAGCCTGTATGGGTCTTTAGTAGGCCATCTACATACATGCTGTGGTTGTTTATCTTAGAGTTTTTGTTAGACTCCTAACAGCAGGAGTTGGGGTGTCTCTGACCCTTTTGCCTGCTCCTGGGACTCTTTTCCTCCTACTGGGTTACCTTGTCAAGCCTTGGCATGAGGGTCTGTGCCTAGTCTTACTGCATCTTGTTATCCTGTGTTCACTGATATCCCTGAAAGGCCTGCTCTTTTCTGAAGGGAAATGGAAGAGCAGTGTATCTGGGGGAGAGGGGAGGAGGGGAGGACTAGGGGTAGAGAAGGGAGGAAAGACTGCAGTTAGGAAGTATTGTATGAAAGATGAATAAAAGAGAAAAAAGACAATAGCGTGTGAGCTATGTGAGCAGGACAGACATCAAGGTCAGTAACTCCGGAGAAACCCTCAGAGACAAGTGTGGGTGGGTGTGGACACACAGCCGAGTGTTCGCAGCGGACTTCCTTTTTTTGCTCATTTCATCTCACGTCCCCCATATACAATGGACACATCAAGGGTCTACCTCAATTTCAAGGCATCCAGGACTCCAGGGGCTCAGCATGCATCACCACCATCTCTTCCCCCAGGTCAGTGGCTTCATTTCTCCATTTGGCATTAGAATATCTTCCAGAGTTATGATTTCTTCTTACCATTTTGTGGTCACTATGAAGATGAGCAGCTGTCCGTGCTGAAGAGTGTAGACGGTCACAACTTTAGAGATTAAAGGCTCATGCATTCCACTTTTAGTCAGTCAGTGTGAAACTTGGGCAGCCATTCTTTTCAGCTTTAGTCACAAGACCCTGAAGAAAGGATAATTACATCTATAAAGAAAGGGATGCTTCTAGCAGAGTGACTGTGAAAGTGGAAGAAGGGACTTAGACAGCTTAAGGTTTGGGGTTTGTTTTCCCACTGAGTCCAGTCAGCGAGGCCAGTGTGTGCGTGGGTGTGGGCCATGTCCGGGAGCATAGGTGGCCTCTTAGGGACTGTATCCTTGAAGAAAACGGACTCTCCCACTCCTAGCAGCCATCAGCTGTCAATAGCTCCCCAGCTGGAGGTGGAACTTCATGTCCGACTCCCATGACAATTTTTGTTTGACTTGAGCTTTTGAAGGTCTTGTGTAGGCTGTCACAAATGGTGCAAGTTCATATGTGCAACTGCCTGTTACATCCAGAAGACAGTGTTTCCTTGTAGTTATCCATCACTTCTGTTTTATGGTCACTCTGCCCCTTCTTCTGTGATGATGCCTGGGCTTTGGTTGGGGATGGAATGGGATGCAGATGTCCCATTTAGGGTGGAGTACTTAGCAGTCTCTTATTCTGTAAATGCTGAATAGTTGTGGGTGGTGCACACCTGGAATCCTGTTGCTTTGCTTCTTCCTTGGGTGGTTAGCTGCATTGGTCCAGGAGGGTGGAAGGAACAGAAGCAGGGAACAGGGTTTGGATGGCTGTGGGTAGGACAGAGATAGCACTCCAGGAGATGACTCTGATGAGTCAGCTCAGCTTTATTCCAGAGTATAGGAAATATATATCAGATTGGGGAGCCTAGGGACAAACCCTAATTTGCATTAAGTGGCACGCTCCTATCACAAGGCTTCATATGTGGCAGCAGGGTCCTATAGCAAAGCTCCTAGTACAAATCTTAGTTACCATAAATGCAGCATGGGAAAGACTTCCAGCAGGAAACTGTGCCAAGAGTCATGCTGAAGATAAATCAGGCATTCAGGCTTAGAGACAGCTTTCAGATAAGGTCAGTCTTCCTGGCCCAGAGACATTCACCAGATAATGGCAGGTAATAGCGTGAAGTCTCACTGGGGATGAGAGGAGGTCCTCCATGTTTCTGAGTTTAAAGAAAGCTGCCAGTAGCAGGACCTCCCAACAGAATCCCATCAGTGGTGAGGTGGAGGCAGGAGAATCAAGAACTAGAGGTCCTCTTGAGCCGTATAGAGAGTCAGAGGTCAGCCTGGAATAACAGGCCACCCTATCTCAGAAACAGAACAGAGCACAACAAAAAGCAATTATGAATGTACTCTAAGGAGAGAACACTGTAAAAGCTACAGCCACAATGTGTGGTGTATGTGTTTAGTTTGTGTGTGTGTACGTGTGGTGTGTGTGTGTGTGTGTGTGTGTGTGTGTGTAACAGTACACATAGTATGTGATATTAGCCACATTTCCAGTTCATCTATCCTTTAGGGGGATTTAGAACTCAGCCAATAAGGAGGGAATAACACAATTGAAATACTGAAAATATCCTGGGGACTCAGGAGAGGCCCCTCCTTTCATGTCATACCTTGACCCAAGTTGGAGAAGATCATTGTAGATAGCAGTGAAGCAGAACCCATGTTCAGGAATAGATTCACATGTCATTAGCACCAAAAGTCACAATTACCACAAAAGGGAGCATCAAACATGTCTATTGAATAAAAGAAGGTCCTCCTTAGGGATGCTTTGACCCCTTCCTGCAACAGAACATGTCACTTGGTTTTGACAGCACTCATAGTTTTCAGCACATCTTCACATCTATCAAGCTTGGTTCACCCAATATGTCTTTGTGCATAGTGTTAGTTCTATGCAGCGCAATGTTATTCATTAAGCGGCGCTGTTCACCATGCAAGAAAAGCCACAAGGCACAACAAAACCCACTATAAGAGTTTATGAAGAGAAGGAACAGAGGGAATGTGCTTAGGCCTATGGAGATTGTGCAGAGAGAGAGAGAAGGAGAAAGAGAAGGGGAGGAGTGTGTGACCCGCTTTTTATAGATCCCCCACACACATGTGCATGTGGGCTTTTGTAGCTACACCACGCATGCGCATAGATTGGGTTATCACACTGCAGACAAATTACTCGACCACACAGTGCATGAATTATGCAGGACATAAGGCCCCAGGGTGACTAAGCCTCTTCTTCGGCTACTGGACAGTGCATGTACAGTCATGTAGCTGAGGGAGTGGCCAGTGGCCAGGAATTCCAACACATAGTATGTGCATAAGCATTATTCTTCAGTCCTACTTCATCAAAACAAACAGTTGAACCTAACGGAGAATTCATCTCATGGAATTCTGCTTTAAGTTGGCAGGGAAAGGCTCACATCTGCAGCTGACCCTCTACTTGAATCCAATTGTCCCCAAACCACCTTTCACTTTCATTCCCGATGTCCTCAACTGACTTAAACAAGTAACAGGTGTTTAACTTCACAGATGCCTGTCGGTGCCCACGCTCCCATAGGTTGGCTCTGAAACTCACTTGTGCTGGGCTCATCCTTCTTGTCTTGACCCTGATTGGGCTCAGTGTTTTAGGTAAGTGAGGCAAGAACTTTATTTATTTATTTATTTATTTATTTATTTATTTATTTATTTATTTATTTATTGGTTTTTGGTTTTTGGTTTTTTCGAGACAGGGTTTCTCTGTGTAGCTTTGCCCCTTTCCTAAACCTCACTCGGTAGTCCAGGCTGGCCTCGAACTCACAATGATCCACCTGGCTCTGCCTCCCAAGTGCTGGGATTAAAGGCATGTGCCACCACCGGCCAGCCGAGGCAAGAACTTTTGCTTCAGACTTTTCCCTCTAAATATCAGGGCCTCTTCACATGGTTTGGTTCCCTTGAGCCTGGGGGAAGTCAATGACATGAGTAGTTACAGGACAGTGTCCCGTGTCCAGTGCAGAAGCTTCACATTTCTGTGCTTCTGAATTCCTCTGAGAGTCGTTAGGGGCTATTACCCATGAAGGGCTCTCTAACAGGCCCAAGCGGGGCAAACATGGTGCCCACAGGCTTTTCCCTTTCCCCTTTCCTCTCACTGAACTGTCAGATTATATTCCTCAGTTAGCCCCCAAGGTCCACTCCCTTATTTGGCCATGGAACATTCCTGAGACTGAGCACTCAGGTTCAACTATCAAAACATCAAGGTCCAGCAATCAAAATTCATTATTTGGCTACACTGGCTAGCCTGTCCAACCAGGACTTATCACCTCATCCTAACACAGACTTCCCCATTTTCTCCTTAAAACCCACTCCTGCAAAAACACCTGTTGCTGTCTTTGCCAGATACAGAGGCAGCCTTCCCCGCTTCATCCAGGGTAATAAATCTCCTTTGTGTTGAGATTTGGTGTGTGTTCTGAGCTGACACCAAGCCCCCAACAACACACATACACCCAGAACCAAAAAAAAAAAGCCATAACTGAGACAAAAACAACAACAAGGAAAACCAAAGGCTCAAGTGTTTAGTTTATTAAGTGGCTACTAAACTCCAGTGGCTTTAAGCTGTCTTTCTTGGAGAAGTTGTGATAATTCTCATTCTGAAGATGAGAATGCAGGCATGAGCGTGGGTAAGTTAACAGTGGTGTGAATCCACATGTTCTGGGCTTTTCTTCTTTGTTTATACATTCTGTCTCCAACTGGTCCCTCCGTCCAGCTGGCTAATATTTTATCCTGTGCAGATGTTCAGGTTTGTTGAAATAGCTTGATTTCCTGAAGTGGGAAAGAGATCACCCACTCCACCTTTCATTTCAGCAATTAATCCTCTCTGTGTTTTCTTATTTTCTAGTACGAGTCTTGATACAAAAACCATCAATAGAAAAATGCAGAGTGTATATTCAAGAGAACATGGCTAAACCAACAGGTAATTTTTCAGCTTGGATTTCCCAAGAAAAACAGTTGACATTTGCTATTTACCAGGGCTTACATCACTCGAGGTTTAAAACACTCACTCATGAAGACACTACAGTCCCATGGTCTTATGTTAGAAGGAATTGTTGCATAAAGTCTTGTTAAGGGTCTCATGACTGGTAGTTGACAATGCTGGGAACCTCTTTTAAACTATGTGACCTTGAAGCCTCAGATCTTAACCACTCAATATGCTAGCACATGGATCATTAACTTTAACAACACTCTAACAGAATATTTGTTTTAACAAATGTGTTAAACAATTAACTTTGTCTAAAGTTAATTGATAGAAACACAAATGAATTCCTTGTTAATTATATTTCTTTGATGTGTCAAAACAACAATTTTGTCCCTGCATGTGTTAAGAAAAGTGGGTGTTAGTAAAGCAACTACTGTGTGTAACTGGATGAGATGCAGCAAGAACAGGGTAGAAATACTCCATGTCTCCTTCTCACTTCAGAGAGTCCAGCTATGTTAAAGTGTCCAAAAGACTGGCTTACACACCGAGATAAATGCATACATTTTTCTCAAAATGTCAACGTTTGGAAGGAAGGTCTAGTTGACTGTGCTACAAAAGGAGGCACTTTGCTGCTCATTCAAGACCAAGAAGAACTGGTAAGTTGTTCTGTTTAATAGAGAAGTTAGCATGTTCTTGAAGCTACACCAGTGTCCTAGACTCTTCCATGCAAAGGAAGTGGACACTTTATACTATGGAAGCTCACGGTCTGAGAGACTAATCGGTCATGTGATCCAATAACTGCTTATGCAAGGTGGGTGTCCTAGGATCATAAATACCGGACAAGATTTCTCAAAGGAGCAAGAATTAACTGTGCTGGGGACTCAGGATGGATACAGGTGACACTTGAACTAGGTTTCCGGAGGCTGGGAGAATATGAGTCACCAGTACACAGACTCAGGGTTAAGTCCTCTACTCTGTTTTGATTGTAGAGATTCATAAAGGATTCAGCAAAGGGAAAAGGCGATTCATTTTGGATTGGACTAAATTACACATCGACAGACAAGAACTGGAGGTGGATAAACGGCTCTACTTTGAGTTCTGATGTGTGAGTATCAGAGGAGCTACCCTGAATATTCATTTCAGGTCATTTCAGGGCTCGAACACTGATACCACAGATTAAAGAGGTTCAGAAGAGGTTAAAAGTGTGATTTCAAAGTTATTTGGAATTTTCCATGTATGAAAAGGTATCAGGCTTTTATAAGGTCGTGTGTGTGCATGTATGTATGTATGTATACAGTGGACTATGTATATATGTATACACTGGACTTCAAAGGACTTCTTTGGAAGGAGAATGCAGTTTTAAATATCTACAGGGAGCCTGTAGGCACAGAGAACTTTTCTTTTTTCACTCTTACACTTTTTATATTTTCCAAAGAATTTCTTTTTTTTTTCATTTTTCTTTATTAAGAAATTTTCTACTCACTCTACAACACCACCCACAGATTCCACATCCTCCCTCCTTCTACCTCCCAGCCCTCTCTCCCAAGCCACCCCGCATCCCCACATCTCCCAAATCAGGTCTCCCATGGGGGAGTTAGCAGAGCCCAGCACCCTGAGCCTAGGCAGGTCCAAGCCCCTCCCCACTGCACCAAGGTTGTTCAAGGCGTCACACCACAGGCACCGGATTCCCAAAAGCCTGCCCATAGTCCAGGGATGGCCAAAGAATTTCTAAGTGGTACTTTCCACACTGTGGTGAAAATGAGCCACAGTGTGTCCTGAGGCCAGTTTCTCAGGTGACAGCCAGCAGAGGGAGAGTGAGTGTGAAGGAAAAGCTCTAAGTGTCAGCAGGGAGCTTGGTCAGCTGAGAGAAATGACCCCATTGTCACAGGTTACATTGTAGTGTGACTAGAGTTGTGAAAGATACAGTTATCTGAGGAGCTGTGGTGAAACAGGCCTTAATCAGCTTTTGTTGTTATGACAAAATATCACAGATAAACAGGAAAGTGAAGTCATTTTGGCTCACAGTCAAGGGGTCTCCTGTCTGCCTTCAGCCTGCTCCCTTGATGCTAGCCCTATGGCAAGGCAGAAATGTGGTTGTGTAAGGGCACAGGAAAGCTGCTCCCCTCATAGTGTGCAAGAAGCAGAGCAGATGGCCACCCCTGGGCTGGGCTGGGGAGCAGAGATCTGCCTTTCAAAAGCTGTGCCCTCACCCCCATGACCTACATCTTTCCAGGAGGTTTCATTTTGTTTGGCTGAGAACTCAGCAATGGGTAAATTCCTTGATGGCATCAGTGCACCCACAATCCAGTCACCTCTTCACAGTGTCACAGCTCTCCCACACATGACCTCCTGGGGTATTTGCCATCAAAGATAAAATTGTGAGTGCAGGTACAAAGAACATCATTAGCTCTTTGGTGTCTTGTCATTTCCTTATTGTGTGAGATTGTCATGGTAACTGTGCTACAAAGAGCCGACACTATGGAGTTAAGTCTTATGTTTTAGTGGAATTAATGACGTTTTGTACAACAAGAACAGAATATTCATTCATTTCATAAGTAAAAGTGTATAGGATTCAGCCAAATTCCTATACAGTGTTTTCAATGAGGTTTTCAGGGATTATAACGAGAATCGTTTTATTCATCTTGCTTGAATAAACTTAGGCAAATCTTATAAGAAAATGTACTTCTTGTTATTCAGAATACATGAGACTGAAATGTAAAATGCTGAAACATATTTAGGTTTACTTAAAATGTACTGATAATTTATTAAGTATAGAAATTGTTAAACATAAGAAGTTGGCGTTCAGTAGAGAAGTATATGTGAAGTGTACGGATTAAGCTCAGCTGATCTGTCAGTTTCCTCTGAGGACAAAGTGACACTGGGGTTAGGGAAAAGCGATTGGTCGGCCTGGAGGCCGCTGTGCTCAGTCGAAAGTGTCAGTCAAGCAAGCCCTGCTTTTGTTTCAACTCTCTGTCCCTGGATTCAGGTACCAGAAAGGGAGAGAGCAACAGTTTCCCCCACAGGGTTATTTGGGGAATTAATAAGGAATGTTAGAGAATTCTCCAGGTGTCTGGTAGGAGAAGGCCTGGGAAGCCTTAAAGGAATTTGGAAAGGAAGTCATTGACTGAAACAGACCAGCCCTGAGGAAATGGTCCTGACAGCTGAAGGAAGATCCTGAGCATGGAGGAAATGAAAGAGGGAAATCATGGTTGGACCTGCATGCTGACCACTAGGGCAGCATCAGATTTGCCTCTCAGTCCCAAGGGGCTCCACGAAGAACAAAACAAGGAGGGGCACCCGTGAGGAGCCCTGGCACTGGTGTATGTCACCTTCTTTGTAAGACCCACCAGTGTGCTTAGAACTCATCTGCCCCTTACAGCCAACCCTGATACCGTCTGTGTTAGTGCTTGAATTCTAGTTCCCACCAGCACGGAGCCACGAAAAACATGGAGGTTTGGAACCCATGTGTTAATCAAACCCTTCAGCCTAAGGAAGGAGAATAAAGGAATTGTGACTCTGTATCCCATGAGCTGAGCCTCTTTCCCTGTCTGCATCCAGGTCTGTGATCCAGACTCTGTGAGCTCACTCTGAATTCATTGAACACCTGCTGTGTGTAACTGTTGTCACACATTCATGTCCATCTTAATACTTCCCTGAACATTAGCTCGTTAAACCGTGTGTGTGTGTGTGTGTGTGTGTGTGTGTGTGTGTGTGTGTAAAACTTATGCTTTTCTGCTATTAATCTATTTTAGAGACTTACTCATTTTTGGTTTATGTATAGGAGTGTTTGCATGCATGTGTGTATGTGTACCACATGAATGCCTGGTATCCATGGAAACCAGAAGAGGGTATCAGATCCCTTGGTACTGGAGTTACAGATACTGTGAGCCACCATGTGGGTGCTGGGAACTGAACTCAGGTCCTTCACAAGAGCAGCCAGTGATTTAACCACTGAGCCCTGTCTCCAGCCAGTGCCTAACTCTGTAAATGAAAGAAAACTGAAACTAAAAAGAAATGAAGGTCTTCACATGATGTGTTAGTGGTGCAGTGAGGAGATCACCATCACCAGCTCTTTCAAACCGTCTCTGTTTCATGCGTCATTATGAAGATTCTTGCTGGAAGCGTTCTTTGCCAGTGAAGAAACAGCAGGTTTTAGAATCAGCTCCACCTTCAATGTTTATAGCATCACGTCTGTGTTCACTATACTTAATAACTGTGCATTCCACTGTTTCTTCTAAAGTCCAAAGGAGAGCAATGGCTGACAGGATCATTGTGAGAAAATCCTAAACACTAACAGTGGCTGTTCTCTTGCTCTCAGATTACAAATCTTTGGTGAAGCTAAAGAAAACAGCTGTGCCTCCGTCTCAAAAGACAAAGTGGTTTCTGAGAGCTGTGCTTCAGACAACAACTGGATCTGCCAAAAGGAACCAAAACCATGTCTCTGAAACCATATGTGATGACCCCAGACAGTGAATCACATCTCCATTACTTTACCATCCACACCAGATCTCTGCACACAGTTCGTAGCACAAAGCATGGAATCTAAAAACACTGCGACTCTTACAAATGCCTTGTCCAGTTTCTTCATTCTGTAAAGGGCACAGAGAGGTGTGCCATTTAAGAGAAGAGATCTGGGCTGGAGAAATGGCTCAGTGTTAAGAGTACTATGCTGCGCTTCCAGAGGACCAGGGTTCAATTCCCAGCACCCACATAGTGGCTCACAACCATCTGTAATGGGATCTGATGCCCTCTTCTGGTATAAAGGTGTACATGCAGATAGAATACTAGCATATTATGAATAAATAAATCTTAAAAAAAATTTTTTTAAAAAGAGAAATGATCTGTGGAAAGAAATCCAGACAGCTGAGGGGCCCTGGATTCTAATCCTCGAGTCTGTGACCCTCACTCTCTGTGTCTGAGGTCATCTGCAAACAGCCACAAAACCATTTGCAAAATCATTATTAAAGATGTGTTATGGGAAGGGTTGTCAGTCAAAATAGAGAACCACCCAAATTAATCTCCTAGTAACCAAAGTCCTCCTTCTCTTTAGCCCCCTAAAAGGAAGCTCCAACCAACAACTAGGACCCTAGAGTACTCACTCTTGTGGCTGGGTGTTCTCTTTACAGTGTGTTCTAATCTGTACTATATAGCCTTGCTTTAGATAAAGTTTCCCAGCCATTTTTCTACTCCCTAAAGGACACTCAAAAACCTGGAAACACTCCACCCTGGCCTAACTACTGGCAACATATTTCATTTACATATATGGTTATTGATAATGGATATTGCCCTGTACCTAAGCTGGGTAGTAACAGTGATTCTTTCCAAAAGGACTATTTTTCTTTTTTTAAATATTTTTATTTTATAATTAATTTAATTTTACATATCAGCCACGGATTCCCCTGTCCTCCCTCCTCCCACTCCCCAGCCTTCCCCCTCAATCCACTCCCCATTCCCACCTCCTTCAAGGCAAGGTCTCTCCTGAGGATTCAGCCCAGTCTGGTAGATTCAGCTGAGGCAGGTCCAGTCCCCTCCTCCCTGTATCAAGGCTGAGCAAAGTGTCTCAGCATAGGCCTAAGGTTCCAAAAAGCCAGCTCATGCACCAATGACAGGTCCCGGTCCCAGTGCCTGGGGGCCTCCTAAATAGTTCAAGCTCATCAACTGTCTCACTTAACCAGAGGGCCTGGTTCAATTCCATGGGGGCTCCTCAGCTATTGTTTCACAGTTCATGTGTTTCTGCTAGTTTGACTATTTGTCCCTGTGCTTTTTCTATCATGGTCTCAATATCTCTTGCTCATATAATCCCTCCTCTCTCTCACCGATTGGACTCCTGGAGATACACCTGGCGTTTGGCCGTGGATCTCTGCATCTGCTTCCACCAGTCACTGGATGAGAGTTCTGAAGAATGGATAAATAAAATGTGGTACATATACACAATGGAGTACTACTCAGCAGAGAAAAGCAATGACATCATGAGGTTTTCAGGCAAATGGATGGATCTAGAAAATATCATCCTGCGTGAGGTAACCCAGACTCAGAAAGACAAACATGGTATGTACTCACTCGTAAGTGGATACTAGATGTAAAGCAAAGGAAACCAGACTGTAACTCACAACTCCAGGGAGACTACCTAGTAAAAAGAACCCTAAGAAAGACACAGGGATCACCCAGTGACAAAGAAATGGATGAGGTCTGTTTTTCAAATACTAAGGCAGAGTGTGGAATGATTTGTCAGCATTTGGGAGCAACCCACTGATAGAGCTGGACCCCAAGTTTTACTGCACTGCTGTGCACTACCCCAACACCACCTCTTAAGGCCCTTTCTCACAAACCAGGGAACACTGGGAAATCAGAGCATGCGGCCCTTTGTACTTCATCCTAAATCCCCTGCATATTACATTGGAAAGCAGATAACCCATAACAACTGTCTTAATTAAGGTTTCTATTACTGCAGTGAAACACCATGACCAACAGCAAGTTGAGGAAAGGGTTTGTTTGGCTTACACTTCCATTTTACTGTTCATTATCAAAGGAAGTCAGAACAGGAACTCAAATAGGGCAGGAACAGTGAAGTGGGAGCTGATGCAGAGGCTGTGGAGGGGTGCTACCTACTGGCTGGCTTCTCATGGCTTGCTCAGCCTGCTTTCTTATAGAACCCAGGACCACAGCCCAGGGATAGGATAGCACCACCCACAAGGGCTGGTCCCTCCCCCGTTAATCACTAATTAAGAAAATGCCCTATAGACTTGCCTACAGCCTGATCTTATGGAAGCATTTTCTTAATTGGGGTTCTCTTTTCTAAATGACTTTAGCATATCAACTTGACGTAAAACTATCCAACACAACAGCTAAACATTTCTGGGCAAAGGCATTCAACCAGCAACCACAACTAACTGAATCCCAAGGCTGACTGTCGTTCCTCTGCATTTGACTTGTTTTGTTCAGATGCTTAGATTCAGATATTTCTATTCATCAGCAGTGGTTTTCATGAGTAACAGAGGAAAAGTAATACCCATTGGGATTTGCCACTGTCTTGCTTCAATTTGTCATTTGAGACTATAAGGAACACTAGAGTGATTTACATTGATAGTTAGTTTATAGAATCCCTTTACCTTAACAGTAGTGAAATATGTAGAATGCATAGAACATAAACACTAACAATATCTCATCTTCTCACTTATGTATCCCGAAATTTCTTCATCTACTGGAAATTCTGAATAATTTTAGAAACTGGAGACCAAGTATACAAACACCTGAGCCTATGGGGAACATTCTCATCTCATTCAAACCACCACAGTCCATAAAGAGCTGCACTATACACAGTATAATAAAATAGAAATAAGATGAAATTCAGGTGTTTGAATACTTGGCCTCCAGTTTGTGGCATGGTTTGGGTAGGTTTAGGAGGTGTGGCTTTGGAGGAAGTGTATCACTGGGGGTAGCCTTTGGGGTTTAAAAGCCATGCATCATTCCCAGTTTGCTCTCTCTGCTTGCTGCTTGCAGTTCCAGATGTGATCTCTCAGCTTCTGCTCCAACCACCATGCCTGCCTCCTCTCATGCTTTACCCCTCCATGATGGTGAAGGACTCCTAACCCACTGGAACTGTAAACCAAACAAACCTTTCTTTCTATAAGTTGCCTTGGTCACTGTGCTGAATAGCTTTATGTCAACTTGACACAGAGTAGATGATGGACAGTGATGTGGAAGTGTGAGCCAAATAAACCCTTTCCTCCCCAACTTGCTTTGGTCATGGTGTTTCATCATAGCAATAGTAACCCAGACAAATTGGTACCAGGATTGTAGGGTATTGCTGTGACAGATCTGACCATGATGTTTTGGTGAGGATTATGAAAGGACGTTGGAACTTTGTGCAAGAAACGCCATTGGGTGCTCAATACTTGGTGAGCTGTTCCGTGGGAGCTTGGAAGATAAGAATGTTGAGGGCAATGCAAAAGATAGAGGCCTGGCTTGTGAAGACTCAGAGGGAAGTTTAAAGACTCTAACTGGGCCACTTGTTATTTTTTAATTTAGAGTCTGTAGTTCTTGTTAGCTGGGGCTGACGAATCAGCTGTGATTAACAAGATACCAGAACTACTAAAGTGAAACCTTTCCTTTGCTGAGATACTCAGTGCTAGTCAGCTGGAGGTGAGAAATTAGCAGTGATTAGAAGAGACCGGCATTGTTGAGGTGAAATTTCCTGGAAAGCGTTTCCTGAGAACACACAGAAGCTGTGTTCCAGAGAACTGGTAGAGCGGAACTTTGTAAGGGTCACCCAGGTGATTTTGAAGTACCAAGGGGTCATGGAGAGTCATGGAGGCTTGGCGCTCAGAGAGGTCAGGAAAGGCCCTTGGTGAAGGTGCAGCCTGTGGCAGTTGAAGGTCTGGGATTGAAGGGAGGAGTCATGCAGAGAATGGCTTGAGGCTTGGCACCATGAAGAGAGCCCAGGAGAGGCCATTGGTGAAAGTACAGCCCAGTTGCAGCAGAGGACCCCAGGGTTTTGGAGATGCCAGGACCATGGATGACTGCCAAGGACAGCTGCAGATGTGGAGTGGAGCCAGCCCGAGCCTAGAAGACCATCTATGTGTGCTGCAGAGGACAGAGCAGAAGTGACCCAGGCACTTTGGAGGAGCCCAGAAGATCACCAGTGGATCCAGACATTTGACAACGTGTTATTTACACTGTTGAGAGTTTGGTTTTGTTTTGATCCAATTGTAACTGTGCCCTGGTTCTTCCCTCTTGAAGTAAGAAAGTATTTAACTTAACTTTGATTTTATAGGTGCCCACAGACTTGAGAGACTTTGAATTATAAAAGACTTTGGATTTTAAAAGAAATTGGTTATTTTATAATTTTGGTTGTAAGCCTAGCGCACCATTTCTCCAGCCTGAGATTGACCATTTTAAAGAGACTAACTTCTAATGTGTTTTGAGTTTGTAAAGGCTATATGACTTTTGAGTTATTTATATTTTAACGGATATCTGGAGGATGAACAAGAGAGGAAAAACCTCTGGCTTAAGGGTGATGTGTTTGTGTGTCAGGTTGACAGGTCAACTGTGCTGGACAGTTTTATGTCAACTTGATATACGCTAACATCATCCAAGAGGAGGGAAACTCAGCTGAAAAAAATGCTTTTATAAGATGGGGAGAGGGAGGGCCCAGCCCATGTGGGTGGTGCCATCCCTGGGCTGGTGGTCCTGGGTTCTATAAGAAAGCAGACTGAACCAGCTATGGAGAGCAAGCCAGTAAGCAGCATCCCTCCATGACCTCTGCATCAGCTCCTGCAGTGTTTAAGTTTCTGTCCTGACTTTCTTTGGTGATGAACTGTGATGTGAAAGGAGAAGCCAGAAAGGAGAACCCTTCACTCCCCAAGTTGCTATGGTCATGGTGTTTCATCACAGCAATGATGTTTTATCACGGCATAGAACAATACTAAAAGGGACATATGATGCATGTATTTTTCACAGTCTTCATCACCTGGTTAGTACATAACTGGGCTACTTTAAAACTAGTTATGTATTTTCCTAA